AGAAATGTTAATGATGAACATTGCATTTACGCACATATCAAAAAGAAAATAATTCATAAAAGTAGTTTTATTCATGGCTTAATTAGCATCGGATCAGTTAAACAATGGTTGAATTATTTGATTAATACTCCTTTATATCAGCATTCCAAAATAACAGTTGATGAATAATTTTTTAATGAAGAAACACCACTCATTACACAACAGAATATTGATGAATTCAGTGAAAACATTGATATTGAAGAAAGCCTTACTGCTTAACAACAAACTTTAGTATGGAACGAAGAAAAATATTTAAGATTGGCACCAGGCCAGCAAAATATTCCACAAAGTTTATTATTTAATGAGCATGCTGAAGAGTTGTCATTTCCGAGTATTTATATGGGACACTTTAGGAAATTTAGGGATACAGTCAATGTTACACCTTTTATGATGGCATCTAGTGAACTGCGACGTAAGGATCGTCGAGGCGTCGATCCCTATCATTTGTTATACATGGCTGTAAAAATAATGAGACTGCGAGTTCGTGACTGTTTAACAATCGCGTTCAAACATGTTGGTACAGATACTAATGTAACTAAGGAATAAGTTCAATCCGAAGATTATTTTCATAACTGTATAGAATATTGAAAATAGAAAACTAGTGAATGATCATAGAATAACTTGTGCTAGTAAAGAAATTGAAGCTATTAGTAAGTCTTAATATGATCAGTTTATACGATTAACCAATTAACTATTAATTTACATTTTAGCTGAAACTATACAACTACAGTTGTCTAGTAGCAGTGATGAACTAATTGATGATAATGCTCATAATACAAAAGAATATCAATGTGAACCACTAAGAAAATGTTTTAAAACAAGGCGAGGTACTGACAATTGTATAACAAAAAAATTGTCTATAGCACTAGATAGATGTAAAATAAGTGATGGTTATACGGTACATATTTTAGTGGCAGCTGCGGAACCATTTGGTATTGATTCTAGTAAATTAATATTGAACAAATCATCGGTTTGAGGCTCTTGACTAAGCTTCCGTCAAGAACGCGCCGAAAAAATACGACAGAATTTTTTGGTAAAAAGAGATGAGGCAATTGTGCTACATTGGGACGGAAAACTTCTCCCTGCCATTGCAGGTAAAAATTTAGTTGATAGATTACCTGTAATTGCTTCTTGCAGTGGCGGGGAACAACTTCTAGGTGTCCCTTTTATAAATACTGGCACCGGGAATGATCAAGCTTCTGCTGTGTTCAAAATGCTTATTGACTGGTACTTATCAGAACAGGTTTAACCGTTTTGTTGTGACACAACTAATTCTAATACTGGCCGTTTGAACGGAGCATGCATTATTTTAGAACAGTTATTAGAACGTGATGTAATATATTTACCTTGCAGTCACCATATTTACGAAATTGTATTAAAAGGGATTTTTGATGTTCTATTTGGTGGAACATCAGGCCCAGATGTATTAATATTTAAAAGATTTCAACAAGCTTGGGGTAATATAAATAAAAATAATTTTAGGCCTATATTATTTATATAGACAATAGGTATATTTTGCAATCTTGTAATCGATTCATTAAAGGATACTTGTCAAAATATTCTTAATTTTGCTAAGGACAGTCTCGAACTAAACCATTCAAGAGACGACTATAAGGAATTATTAGAATTGACCATAATATTTTTAGGTGGTGAACTTCCTAATGGAAACCACTTAAAAACTCATCATACACGATGGATGGCCAAAGCCATTTACAGCTTGAAAATTTTTTTATTTCGCGAGGAATTCGCTTTGCCATCAAAAGAAGAAAAAGCATTAAGGAGTATATGTATTTTTTTAATTAATTTGCACATCAAGGTATGGTTTAATGCACCCTCAGCTATTAAAGCACCTATTCAAGACTTGAATTTTATTAAAAGTCTTTTAAATTATAGCGCTGTAGATAAAACTATATCACAAGTATTAGTTAAAAAATTTTATGACCATTTATGGTATTTGTCATCCGAAATTTGTTTGATGAAACTATACCAGTTGAAACCAAAATAAAAATGGTAAAAGCTTTAAAGAATATAAAACCATCATCAAATATAGTGTCAAACTCTAAGCGTTCAATCGTTTCTCCGAAATATGCTCATGTGTTTTTAGAAAATGAAATTGATCAATTCATAAGTGAAAATTCTTACCAACTATTTAGACGTTTCAATATTAATACTCAATTTTTGAATGAAAATCCTTCCAAATGGATTGATAACGAGAGCTATCAAAAAGCTTTGTAGTTAAAGTAGTTAAAAATATACCTGTTGTAAATGATGTAGCTGAGTGAGCCATCAAATTAATAGAAGACTACAACAAAATTATCACAAAAGATGAAAATCAAAAACAATATTTTCTACAAGTTGTATCAGATTATTGTAAAAAATTTCCGTATTAAAAAAAATCAACTTTAATAACTAAAAATATGTAGTTGATATTGACACGGCCGCGGCGTTGTCACACGTTTGACACCCCGCGGTCGTATCATCTCCTTCACAGCCACCGCTTCACTGTAAACCGGACCATTACACACACGCGTTATCGTCGTGGTGCAAACTCCAACAAATGCCTAGCGTCGAATACCCCGCCGCAATAATACGTCGAGTCAGTCATCTTCGTGACACCTATATCGCTTGTCCGTCCGTTCGTCAATCCAACCGAACCGCCACCACATTTTTGATCATTTATACATCTATCTACAAAACCATCTCAGTGTGACTGTTCAATAATTAGTATTATTGTTACTTTTGGTTTTCCTTTTATTCTTTTTGTGTTAACACTTTTCTTTCATTAAACGGCTTTACGCCACCTATAGAACGAACCGTTGCTGTTTTGATTTCTTTCTTCTTTTTATTACGACGTTAGTCGCCACAATATATTTTCAACATTTTTATTCTTTTTTAATGCACATTTAAATTTTTTGAATAATAATATCGGTTCATATTAACGAAAAACCCGATTTTATTATAAACCGATTATTATTTTATACATTTTTTTTTGTTGTATATTTAAATACATTTATTCGGCAATGAGAACATGTTTCCAAAATTATTAACTTTTATCAATTATTTTAATTTGTCTTCAGTAACGTAAGATTACTTTATTATAAAATTGAATTAATTTGCTTTGTTTTTGTACTTTTGTATTTGTATAAAATAATTTTTTGCAAATAAATACGTGAATAGTTTAACTTAATTTGATAACAATAAATTGAAAATACAACAAATATAATGAAAATTAAATTTTGAACAATTTTTGTATGAAACTTTTTTTTATAGAATCAATAGTGCGCCTGCAATACTTAAGAAAACGAATAAAACTGATTTTAATGGTTGAAATAAATATGTTGTTTTTTAAATTCTAGGCCTAAATATTATGGATATGGACTTTTTTTGAATAATATTTTTTATAGAAAACATATTGTTCTACAAAATAAGTTTTATGATTTGTTCTGTAAATTACATAGTTTGTAAGATAAATGAAGAAAACTGAAAAACCACCCTTACAGACGAATTTTCAAACCTCTTGCGGCACGTGTTAATATCACTCAATTTCAACCAAATTTTATAAAACTTATTTTTTTACCTAACAGAACAATTCTAGGGGGTGTCCCGAATGAATTTCAAAACTTCATTTTTAAGAACCATCCTAATATTAGGGTGGTGGTCCTTATTTATAGAAGAGAAAAATTTTTCATTTATCACCCCCCCCCACAATTGGTTCATATTATAAAAAAGTAATTCGAGTAAAATTTGGCCATGATTAATCAACCCCTTCAGGTGCTCCTAAAGGGATGAAAATTGATAACAATTCGTTTTCTGAGTTATTTTTGCTTATTGATAGAAAAGTATTGCACTAATCGTAAAAATGAATAGAATTTAAAATGTAGCTATTAATATTTCCAATAAAAAGTATTCTTATAACATTTTTCTCAAGTCTATTATTTTCCAAGAAAAATAATGAAGTAGCTTAAAATTTTCCAGGGGTAGTTTTCAGATTATCTTAAATTATCTTAAAAACTATTTCAAAAACTATAAATTCAAAAAAAATGTAAAGGACTAAATGTATAGCAAATTTATTTTCTATAAAATAGAATTTCACTTAAGTATATTATTTTATATAATAATTAGTCTCAATAATAGTTTTTTCAACATATATTAAATATGATTAATAGTACAACTAAAAGTCCAAGACTAATTTTGTTTAAAATTAAAATCTCTTAAAAATGTTTTGTAAATTTTTCAATTAAATACTGATAAATTTTTTAGCTTCGATGCGAAGCTGAGAAGGTATTGGTTTTACTAACATATGTTTTTTTTTTTTTTTTGTGTCTGTTACCACTTTTTCTCAGCTCTCACCGAACCGATTTCTTTTAATGATACGTCAAAAGATCACAAATCGTATCTAGTCGAAGACATTACCCTTAAAAATTGAAAAAATTTCCCTCGTTCCCCGTAAATGGGGGAAACCTCCAAAAAAATTACAAATTTAAAAATCGCTAATTTTCGAAATTTTTTCAATTTTTTTTACTAAAAACTGCCG